CCGGGAGCTGAGCCCTCGCGGGGCGGGCACTGCGGCTGGGCCCTGCCGCCCCGGGGGTAGGGATGGGGCGGTCCCTCCCGGGCTGGCGAGGGGGACGGACGCCCCCTTACTACACCCGCGGACTGTCTGGGTGCGGAAGGATTGCCGTCCTGCGCAACGACTTGCGCCTGGAAGGGCGAAAGGTGACCCCGGGTGGCCAGGGAAACTGCCCTTCCTGCCGCAGGAAGCGCATTGCAGCTCCTGTTGGATGGTCACCCCTCCTGCCCCCGAACCCACCCCCTAGAGCCAAGGAGTGGGGAGTTGGGGCTACAGCGCGGCCCCCACAGGGCCCGTGGGCTGTGGAGAGGCCGCCCGCTCGGAAGTGTTTTGGGTGGCGGTCGATCTCAGAAAAGGCAGCCTTCCTTCGAGCCGGGCATACCCCCGAGGTCTGCACCTGGCAAGGCCTGCCCTGCCCTCTCCAGGCTTGACCTTGGACAGGTCATTTCTCCTTCCCAGCCTCAGCTTGCTCCTCTGTGGCTTGGGTCCCTGTGAGGAGTAAAAGAGAAGGCGTGTGAAATTGTCCAGTCAGTGGTCCCTGAGCAGAAAGTGTTGCCTGTTTTGGTGGCCCTGAGGGAGAACAGGCCTGGGACTGGGGGGGGCGCTGTGGTGGATCTGGGTGGGCCCAGAGAATGATGGGCTGGGAAAGTGGTGGCTGAGGCACAGGGAAATGGTGTACCTGGCCCAGAGTCACACAGTAAGGGGCAGAGCAGGTCTTGAACCCACAGCACCCAGCTCCTGCTTCCTGAAAGACGACCCAGAGCAGCAAAGCCAAGGATGTGAACACAGGAGCAGCCCAGAGTGGCCACCAGGGAAGGCTGGGGGGGGAGGGTCCTTCCTAAAGGGAAGCCTTGGGGCTCACAGGGAGGGGCGCTCAAGGTGGAAGGAAAAGCAGGAGCTAGAGCCTGGAGGTGGGACAAGGGTAGATGTGAACGCTGGAGTCGGGGCCCAGCCGCCTTGGGGGTGGTTACAGAGAACTGAGGCCAACTTCCTTTGTGAGCAGCAGCCCCTGAAGGATTCTGAGTGGGGCAGGAAGAGATGAGAGTGGGACTCAGGCTGGGGTGGCAGAGCTGTCCTAGTGCGATGGGGAGACGGGCCTCACTGGACCCTAGAGGGCTGCGTCCAGCTGGGCCTGGGCCATGGCAGCTCACCCCACTGGCTAGTTTGCAACGGGGACCAGAACTTTCCCATGCGCATCAGTTCACATTGTTCCTGTGCCCAGTGCCCCAGGGGAGGGGTGCTCCGCCTGTTACAAACTCTCTGCGGGCTACCGGGAGTGATGAGAATGGGACGTCCCACTCTGTGGGGCATGGAGGCCGCACCACAGGCCCAACGGTTCCAGGCTGCCCCCCGGCCTCTTTCCCCAGAAGAGCCAGGAGTGGGGGCTGCCCAGAGCATCCAGCGCCGTCTCTCCCCTCCAGGAACATGACATTGAGACCCCTTACGGCCTTCTACACGTGGTGATCCGGGGCTCCCCCAAGGGGAACCGCCCGGCCATCCTCACCTATCATGATGTGGGCCTCAATCGTAAGTGCACCCCAGCCTCATCCTGCCTTTCCCTGCCTTGAATCTGCCAGAGCAGTGAGGCCTCCCTTTCCTCCACCCTGTAGGTCCCAACCATGCTCAGCTCTGTGCCCTTAGCCACTTGGGCCTTGGTTTCCCCACTAGACCATGAGGCTGATCCCCTCTGCCTTGCCCTCCTTCTTGGAGCCACGGGCCTCCCCACCCGTCTGCTCAGCCACAGGTGTGTCTTTGTAGACAAGCTGTGCTTCAACACCTTCTTCAACTTTGAGGACATGCAGGAGATCACCAAGCACTTCGTGGTGTGCCACGTGGATGCCCCCGGTCAGCAGGTGGGGGCGTCACAGTTCCCTCAGGGGTAGGTACCCCGGGGCCCGCTCCAACATCCCCCAGCTCTGTGCCCCAGGCCACACCTGGGCCTGACCTCCTGCTCCGCCTGTAGGTACCAGTTCCCCTCCATGGAGCAGCTGGCAGCCATGCTCCCCAGCGTGGTGCAGCACTTCGGGTGAGTCCCCGCCCAGCCTGTCCCTGTGCTGGGGGCCGAGGGGTGGCCACCACCACCACAGAGCCACTTGGCTCTGCCTGAAGTCTGAGGGCTGTAAGTGGGGCCTGCTCAGATCACATTTATGGGAAATGGCACCGCTGGCCCTAGAATGACCAGCCATGCTCTCCTCCAGGTTCAAGTACGTGATTGGCATTGGAGTGGGAGCTGGAGCCTATGTGCTGGCCAAGTTCGCAGTGAGTTCCCGGACCCCAGGGCTGGTCTTCCTGGGGCAACCCCTCCACCACAGGAACTTCCCTGTTTTTCTTCCTTCCCTTTCCCCTCTCCCCACTTAGTAAAGCCTTTATTTTTTGTTTCTAAGGAAATTATTTTTTAAAAAGGTTAGTTTTTCCACACATTTCCTCAAAAGACTATAAACTATATTTTGCGTAACTATTATCTAAAGCCAAAATTTCCATTAGCAGCAAACTACACAACCAATTGCTCTAGCTGCAAAATGTGGATTTTCCTAATCACTCATCCACTAACTAGGGAATTACTTAAATGAGTCACGTTTTAACCAAAAATTATACTTTGTTCAGTTGGCAAGGTTTAGTGAAAGCCACACTTCAGAAAACCTCATGTCATGTAGGAGCCATGAGCCCTTTGTCCCTAAAAACAAAAGCTTAATTTTCAGAATTCAAATTCTTTCTTTCTTCAAAAGAAACGACCAAGAATTTTCAACTCCAGTTTCAGTTTCAACACTTACGTATTTTATTAACTGTGGACCATTCCCTGCTACCCCAAACTTGACATCACTTGAGTATTCTATGTATATTGCTCCTTAAACAAGGGCCAATGGTTGAGCAAAAAATGTGGGTCCCTTTTGCCACATCTAACAGGCTTTGGTTATCACATAATTAATGTCACTAGGGTTTCCTTGTCTATAAAAGCAAAGAAACAAAATGTTTTGTTTTTAAACTTTTTTTTTTTTTTTAATTTCAGAGAGAGGGAGGAGCTAGGAACATCGATGGGCTGCCTCCTCCATGCTCCCTACTGGGGACCAAGCCTGCAGTGGGGGCAGGGAATTGAGCTGGTGACCTCCTGGTGCATGGGACCACCCTCAGCCAACTGAGCCATGCCAGCTGGGCAGAAACAAAATGTTTTCTTGAAGATGTTTAATCCTCAGTTTTACAACAGCAGCATCTCCAGAGATGTATTAAAAGGAGTGAAAAACAGTGATATAGGCATAGATTCAAAATTAATCCAAGGATTTTGGGAAGTCCCAGGTGGGCAGGATGAGCGGGGCTGCTGGAAGTGGAGCCCGCACAGGTCCCCAGCTGTCACAGTTGGGTCATCAGTGGCATCTTGAAGCTGTTACAGAGCATGTCCTCATTGGACGACATCCCACCCCCTCTCAAACTACCTGTGAGATAGGCAGGGCCAGAATTTTACAATCTGTTTAGTGCGTGGGAAGTTTGGGGCTCCCTGCACCCTGTCCTGCCCACCCCCAGCTCTGTCTTCTGTTCCTGGCAGCTGATCTTCCCTGACCTGGTGGAGGGGCTGGTGCTGATGAACATCGACCCCAATGGCAAAGGCTGGATTGACTGGGCTGCCACCAAGGTGAGTGTGGTCCACCTGGCTGGGGCCGGGGGCAG